CACAAGGCAGGCAATGGCGGAAGCCGAGGCAAAGGTGGCCGAGCTAGAAGAAGCTGAAAAGAAAATGGTCGAGATGCAAGCAGAGAACGGTCGACTTGCCGATCTGGTTAATTCGGCTGAAGCGGAAAAGCAGAAAGCCGCCATCGCTATGAAAGACAAGTATCTGCGGGAGTTGGTGAAGCTTGAGAAGAGAAAAGACACCGAAATAACTCAACTAAAAAAGAGCGCGGAGGAAGCCGAAAAGGAGGGGTACAAGCAGGGTTACAAGAAGGCAGAAGATGCCTATGTTAAACAGTGCGACGCTGCCAAGGAGCTGTTCTTCAAGTGCGGCTGGAGGGCGGCTGTTGAGAAGCTCGGTCATGATCAACAGATCGAGGTCTTCGACCCTCCAGCTTACTTTATACCGAAGTCCCTTGCGGAGTATGCGGATGCCTTGCAACAAGAATTTCTGGAAGACTCAGATTCTGATGACTCCTCTGCTCCCGAAGACATTCCGGTTGTTAGTGCAGATCCATCACTTCGGTTGGAGTCTATGGTAGAGGACCTACCTATCGAACGGCCAAATGAAACCGTGGTTCCAACCAAAAGTATCCTGGCAACCGAGAGTGAACTTCCTCTTGAAACCGATCTTCAAGTTGCTGGTGATGCGGCTTTTGACGCCGAGATTGAAAAACTTTTTTTCCTGATTATGTATTTTTTCTTTGTTGCTTTTTGCCGTTGTAACCAAACTCTGAACCTTCTTTATAATAGTTTCAATGAATGAAAAATTTTGCGTGAACTCTTGTTCCGGTTCTGATATGTATGCCTGTACTTTGTAATGCCTTCAGTTACTCCAATTGTTATTTCGGTTTTAGGTGGTTAAACTATGCTTACAAGCCAACCACTCCTTAGCCGATATATTTACTTTGGCTGAAGAGTACAAAGTGTTTAATCCAGCCAATCTAATTTTCAGTCATACCCTTACTTTGGCTAAAGAGTAACAAGAGTTGGTTTATTCCAGCCAACCACTCTTCAGCCTTGCACTTACTTCGGCTGAAGAGTAACAAAAGTTGGTTTATTCCAGCCAACCACTCTTTAGCCTTGCGCTTACTTCGGCTGAAGAGTAACAAGAGTTGGTTTATTCCAGCCAACCACTATTTAGCCTTGTACTTACTTCGGCTGAAGAGTAACAAGTGTTGGTTTATTCCAGCCAACCACTCTTCAGCCTTGCACTTACTTCGGCTGAAGAGTAACAGGAGTTGGTTTATTCCAGCCAACCACTCTTCAGCCTTACCCTTACTTCGGCTGAAGAGTAACAAGAGTTGGTTTATTCCAGCCAACCACTCTTCAGCCTTACCCTTACTTCGGCTGAAGAGTAACAAGAGTTGGTTTATTCCAGCCAACCACTCTTCAGCCTTACCCTTACTTCGGCTGAAGAGTAACAAGAGTTGGTTTATTCCAGCCAACCACTCTTCAGCCTTACCCTTACTTCGGCTGAAGAGTAACAAGAGTTGGTTTATTCCAGCCAACCACTCTTCAGCCTTACCCTTACTTCGGCTGAAGAGTAACAAGAGTTGGTTTATTCCAGCCAACCACTCTTCAGCCTTACCCTTACTTCGGCTGAAGAGTAACAAGAGTTGGTTTATTCCAGCCAACCACTCTTCAGCCTTACCCTTACTTCGGCTGAAGAGTAACAAGAGTTGGTTTATTCCAGCCAACCACTCTTCAGCCTTACCCTTACTTCGGCTAATGTTTGGTTGTTCCGACCAAACACGTCCTGCAGCCTGGATTCTTATCCTGGGCTTAGGAAGGTGTTGGTTTAATCCAGCCAACCTCTAAGTTAGTTTTTCCAGCTAATCTTATAATAAAATGCTTGCAATGTGCCTAACCTTAAAGCTAACTTTTACAAAGAACAATTTTATGCTGAAAAAGAATCGCTTGTTTTATTGAAGAAAGAGAAAATTACACATTTTTGAAAAGGAAAAACTAAAAGTAAAATAACTTGAGATTAGCCGTGTTCCATGACCTAGGGATTGCTTTGTCATCCTTGTCTTCTAGGTGGTATGCCCCTTTGCCTGCTAACCCAACCACTTTGTAAGGACCTTCCCAGTTTGGCCCTAACTTGCCATCTCCCGGTATCAAGGTGTTTCCCATCACTTTGCGCAGTACCCAATCACCGATCTTGAATTGTCTTGGATGCACTGTCTTGTTGTATTTTCTGATTAATTCTCGTTGGTATGAGGCAATGTGAACCAGTGCTCTTTCTCTTCTTTCTTCTGCAAGGTCGAGTTCCAATGCTATGGCTTCTCCATTCAAGTCTGGATCAAAATTTTCGCTTCGAATTGTGGGGAGGCCAACTTCCAGTGGGATTACTGCTTCCATTATGTAGGCTACCAAGGAACTCTTCTTTAAGTGC